AACAGAAAAAGAAATGTTTGAATAACTTAAATTTTACATAAATATAAATAACGTGACTCATAAAGTATTAATGAATTATTGAATCGAAATTATAAAGATTACCGATCATGTAACAAAATTAGACTAACCTGTAATTCCTTAGGATTAACAAACTCGAGGGCATGCCGTTTGATTGCATGGAGGGCAGCGTCAGGAGCGTATCCAGGATGCGGGGTGGCAGGGTGAGTAACGGGAGGATCACTCTTCCCACCTTGGGCCAACTGTTTTCGCCTAATTTGCGCCACTTTCATGGCCTGCAGTAAAAAAGCATATTAATTTATCATCTACATCAAATACACAACAGAATAACACAATTTTACTATTACAAACCTATGAATAAAATCGTTCTAAATATAAATTTACATTTTGTCATATGAAGTGTATTTTTTTTTTTAATTATTAAAAAATAACAAAGTAATATAAATTAAACATTATTTTATCATTAAAGTAATTTTTTAAGAGAAAAATAATCGTGACTATTATAATATGTAATTCCTTTTTGGATGTACAGTACCATGAAAGGTAATACATATTTAGGCTGTAAACTAAACTAAATAAATAAACGAAAAAATTAATAATTTCCATGATTTCATTTTTGTCAAAAGATCATGTTAATTCGATGAATTTTACTTTAGAATATATATAACTGATATTGATAAATGCATCATGTTTAAATATTGAATAAAATTAAATTACAAGTAAATACATTTTATAAAAACTATAAATTACCAACTCTTTAAAATTTCTAATTAAGAAATTACCTCTGTGTTACAATGTTTATCATACAGATGCGTCATGAGTGAAAAACGTTTCCTTTTCATATTGTCACATCTCTCCCACTGGCATGTTATCTCACTCTCTGTCGTCTCAGGGCAATGCGCTTCACACACATGCATATAGACTTGATTGGCAGACTTAAACTTTGTTTCGCTGAAGAAGAAACAAATTTAGATACTAAAAATATTCCAAATTAAATCGCAAGTATGCATTACCATTGGCAGTCGCCCCATTCGCACACAAAAGGCGTTGCTAAATCGCGGATTATTTTCTGTTTAATTTTTGGGACAGTCTTGGGCTCCTCCTTCTTTTCAGCGTTGGCCACAGAGACCGGAACAGGAACTGGCACTGGGACTGGGACTGTTACGGTGGCCGATGTGGCAACCGTTGTAATTGGTGTGATCACAGATGTGGCGGGCGTTTTAATTACAGTCGTGGCGGGTATAACGGGGGCGCTATTAATTGCCGAAGCCGTTTGTAAAACGGGCCTCTGAACCTAAAAATAGCGACATTTTGGGTACAAAGAAACGAATCAAAATATATTTAAAAAGTATCATTTATTAAACAATTGACTTATATTTACCTGTGTTACAACCATTTGCTGGCCCTGAGGAGCAACCATGACCTTTGGATGGTGCGTAGCAGCATTAGCGTTAGGTTGTTGCAATATAATAATGGTCTTGGTGCCAGTACCCTGCTGTTGAGACGTTTGCGCCACCAACACAGTTTGTGGTTGTCCATGCATCACTGCGGCCTGCGATTGGGCGACTACATAAGCCCCTTGTGTGGTTCCTGCTTGAAGAACATACTGGCCAGGTTGAGTTGAGCTGGGAATAAGCTGCATTTGACCTTGGGACAGGAGAAACTGACCTGTATTCGCTTGCTGAATGACCACCTGTGGCCTCTGTTGCGCCGTATTCTGTACTATTACAGTTTGGCCAGGTTTGAATGCTTGGGTACCGGGAATCACCACCTGATTCGGGACGGGCAGCTGGGGCTGTGACACGATTATCTGACGGGGCTGAGTTGCCACGATCATTTGCTGCTGACCATTGCTATCCACGTATACTTGCTGTAAAGTGCTGTTCTGAACAACCTTTTTGGAGAAACAAAGATTCAGTTTTTAAAAATTACTAAAGCAAAATACGGTAAAATTAGGAAATGTGGAGCTTTTTCTTTGATAAATAATAATCTTGTTTGTAGCATGTAATTAATTATTTTTCGATCAATAGAACAATTACCTGCATAATGTTTGGTGTTTCTGCGACCGTTTGCTGTTGCTGCTGCTGCTGTTGTTGTTGTTGCTGTTGCTGTTGCTGTTCTTGTAAAAACTGCTCTTCCTCCTCCTCATCTTCGAGAATGTCTGCTGCGATGTCGGCAAAAAGTTTCGCAGCAGCCGTAGACACGCTCCCTTTGCCTTCCATCTCATCACCTCCATTCGAACTGCTAGAAACCGATTCGGGAGCTGGCGAACCAACACTTGACGATCCATTCACAGACAAGACAACGTTCGCTCGTTTAGCTTCCGTTTCCGAAATGTCATCGGTTGCGGGTCGTTTCGTGCCCTTCATTTGTACTACTTCTTCACCATTGCTCACTTCTTTGTCCACGTGCATAACATTAGTATCGTTTTTTTCGATAATGCCCGTAGGCGCAGTGGTGATGTTCTTTTCTGAACACTTCAGCGCTTTTTCTATGTGATTCTCGACCAAATCGAGTCCCTTCTCACTTAATCGTAATTCTTTGCCGAGCATTCCGTTAAGTAAGGGTGGATCTTTGTCTACTTTTTTCTCTAATAAATCAGCGAGCATAAGTGGTTTGTTTTTAGTAATAACGTTTGTTTTCGTGGTCGAGTCTTTGGAGTTGCTGTCATCATTTAAAAGTGTATCGATATTCGGAACGCCGTTAAGTAAGATACCCTCGAAACTAGTTAACGAATTATCGCCGTCTTCTGTTGAAGAAATTCCAACATTGCAAATGCCACTGCTAGACGCGACTGAATTGTTTCCTGTTGAATTGCTGTCTTCGTCGATTCGGGGAGTTACAGTACGCGTTAAAGGGGCTAAAGGTGGAGGAGGAGGTTGCGGGGGTTCTCTTTTACCTGTGGCATATGTAGATGCCGAGGTTATTGACGATACGGATGTATCTATCACTTCTTCACAAAATAACTGTCTGGCACCGTTTATTCGCGACGATTTTGGGGTTTCAGTTAATTTGGCAGTTTCCTGTTGTTGTTGCTTGTTATTCGGAGTCTGTGGAGGAACTGGGGTGTTCACTTGTTGGGCTAAAAGACGCTGCTGTTGTTGACGAGCCACAACCTGTACATTTTTTCAAAGAGCACAATGAGATATTTTGTATTTACTTTTTTTTTAATCGAATTTAAAATAGTGTAATTTTTAAGCATTACAGCAAACAAGAAATAAGTTATTTAATTAATATGTTAGAAACATTGATAGCAAACTTTCTAAAATTACTCATTGCAATGATAATAATTACAACTGCAGAAAACCTTTTCAACAAAACTATCCGCAATCTCTTATAAAAAAAAAAATGAATACTAATACTGAGAAATTTTTTAATGATATATTAGAGTTTCTACTGATATAAATAATTAAAAAATATCGGTTATATTTAAACTAATCATAAGAGCAACATCCCAATCATAAGTTGATTCTCAAGAGATGTATATATATCCCGCATAAAAACAAGAATTTCTAGGCTCTCCCTTATTTCTATAAAAATATAAACCCAAAACTATAGTACTATTAATAAATTGAGACTGCTACTTTCTATACAATTTCCAGATATAATTTAGTTACTAATTACGAGAATATGTTGCACCTACGATACCGGAAAAGAACGGTACGCATCCAAATTTATTTCAGGTAGGTACATTAAAATATCTAAACGATTAAAAATTACTTATCGATGCACAAGCAAATTTTCAAAAAGTGTTAATATCAAAGAAGCCTACAACAAACAAACTTACAAATAGAAAACAACAACATTGGTACTCACGTTACGCAAAGCAAAAAAAATAACTCTACATTTTGTACAATATAATTTTTTTTATGTATAATTGCGAACTTACGGTAGTTAGTAAATTGTTTAGTAGGTGTTACCTGCGCTACGTTTTGGCAGTCCTTGGCAATCTTCATGCTGACCGAAGACATGCACTCGTTTACCTTAGTAGCAAGCAAGCTTTTGATGAGAGACGTGTTACTCTGACCGGCCTGTTGAACGTTCGAACCGACTATTGTTAAAGCAGAGGACGTAGGACTCATTACGGTCGTGGTACACGTAGCGCTGGTTGTCGTTACGACACCTGTACTGGAATTAGAACCAAGGAGGGCGTGACTCAGGTGAGGATGTGTCAGTACCTTTAAAAATTAAACAATATCAGACCACGAGAAAAAACACAAATAAAAAATAATATACCTGACTTTTAGCATCGACTTTAGAGGCATTTGAAGTGATGACTGTTATTTCACGTGGTGTTTTGGCAGGAGCACTGAGTTGGGCTTTTAGTATGGGTGAGGCAGGAGAAGCTGGAGGAGTATCTGTGCTGTCGCAGTTCAATACGATAGGAGGTGGGGAAGATACGGGTACGACGTTAGAGGTTACGGACACTTTACGACGAACATTCGTTTTTACAGTGGTATGTACTTGAGGAGCAGGAGGGGACTGGATATTAATTATCAAGGGTTGGGCGCGCACTTTGATGCCCTCATAGTACTGAGATTCTAGTTGTGTTCCTGTTTTAATGGTATTCGGACCAACGGTTCCTCCAAATACTGACCTATTGAATTAAATTTTTCAATTACACATTACTCACAAACAAAAATTGAAAGACAAGATAAATTACCTAACACATCTTGGAAAATGAAGGGGTGCTATTACGCCTCTTCTTCCGATTTTCGCGCACGAATTGATGTAGTGCTTGTATAGCTCCTGCTGTTCAATATGACTGTTGTTGCAGGGTTCGTATGTTGCCCTCAGCCAAGCAAGGGCGAACTGCTCGTTCTCTTGAATTGTTTGCTGATGTGCGTGTTGTTGAACGAGTTGTTGAGAATTCACCACCACTTGCGACACCTGCGTCACTTGAGGAACCGACGACGTTGTTGTTGTTGCTACTACTGCAAGACACGTCAAAATTATGACAATAGTTAATTTTAATGAACAAAACAACATATAACTATATAACTTACATGATACTGGCGATGATGTTGTGAAAACCATTCTATGAGGAACCACGTGAGCATTTCTTAATGGTGTGGTTGCTGTGGTAATAATAACTTTCTGAGGAGTGTTAGGAGCGACTTGAAGTTGTGGCAAAGGCGGTGGTGGAGGAGGTGGTGGAGGTGACGTAATGTTACTAGCACTGGTTACATTCGAAGTAACATTGCTATTATTATTGTTAGAAGAACTAACAACTGTTGGAGCACTAATTATTGTACCACCAGGGACCGTTTCGACCAGTTTCATTCCAATACAAGCTTTCGGTCCGTAGCTTTTGCCTTCCACGGTCACCAAGGATACTAATGTATCGACTACGCCATGATTGCTCACGATGTAATTGCAGGCACGCTCGCCAAGTGACGACAACGAATAAAGACATTCGAGGGTGTAAATGAGCAACATAACATCGTGTAAGGTGAGAAACGAACAAACTTTCGTATATACGATGGATTCGAGTGAACGAGATAGTACGTCCTCATTGGCCTCGATTTGACTCAATTTATTAAGCACTTCCAATGACGTTATGCAAAAATTACGATCCTCACTGTGCAGACCCCGCGTAACTACTTTCAAAAGACAATCCGCCAACCTGAAAATAGAATTATTAAATTTATTAAAATATGATAGTATGGTCAGTAAGATTTATGCTGTTGAAGGAAGATAACCAGAAAACAAATATTGATATGTTGTTTTTATTTAATCAAAATTTAATTATGTATTTAAAAAACGTTACAATAACGCTATGTCCTACCTGTCCTTGTTACGTTCTTTGATTAAAAAATCGGAGGCAATGTTTCCCAGCATATCCAAACCTAAACTCTGTAAGCTGCTCCATTTCGCGTTCGAACACAATAATAAGAACCGCATAAATGTCCGATTATTTGATAACGTTGCTATGTTGTCCTCGATAAAACTAAGATTCCGCAAAATTTGCGCAATCTGTAATACACGTTGTCCGATATAGTCCTGCGTACCGAATGTCCTTCCCAAACAGAGAAAATCCTTGTCCTCTGGTTCAATTTTGAATTGAAATGCACCACATTTCGCGTCATTCGAACACATGTCATCGTCATCACAGTTGTTATCTCCCACCGAATCACAATTAACTCTCATTATGTCACTACACCGTTCGTTCCCATCACTTCCTGCGACGCAACTCCCCATACTACTGTTGTCGATCCTCCCCACATCGGAACTTCCGCAATCGTGAAACAACGAGGACTGGTGCGATTGTTTCTTTTCTTCTTGGTCCTGCTGTTCATTTTCTGGCGCGTCCTCTTTAATACTATCTTTTACGCTTTTACTCCCGACGAAATTGTTTTCGTTAGTCAAGTCCAGGAACTCGTTCGTCGCGAGCACTTCCGTCCAAAAGGAATCGAGCGAGTGTTTCCGCACATGCTTGTAATAATAAACGAACAGTTTTCGCAGAGAGCTGTGATTGTACACGCCAGCGTGCGCGAGGAGGTTGTCAACCAGACGGGGATGTTTTTCCAACTTCAACGTGTGCTTACCGTCATTAGACAGGACGGTGCACACGTTTATCGCAAAATCCTGCTCATTTGGCAAGACGGACAGGAGTGACAACGCCAAACGATCGTAGTCAGATGATTTATATAAGTCCGTTGAAAGGTTGTTGTTTTCTCGCGATGCTTCTAAAGAAATCAAATTTTACGTATAAAATAACACATCCTTTGGAATTAGTTTGTATATGTACAATAGGAAAAGGGGATAAGGTTGAAGAATAATCACAAAGTAAGAATTAAAATGGCACTAAAGATATTAAATGAAATTTCATTTTCTATTCCTACTATTTTCAAATTTTAATTAAATGAGAGCAAATAACAAAAAAATTATAAAGAATAACTTTTTTGTCATTTACAATTTCAGGAAAAATTGTACCATAAAATAATATAGTGTACTACATAGAATACTACTGTTTTTTTCTTTCGAAAAAATATGAACTTATCGTCCCATATTTCATTATGAAATATTCAATCTCCGGTGAAGTATCAGAAAAAAAAAAAAAATAAGTAAATCTGTTTATACTAATAGACTTCATACCCTCAAGTTACTATTGGTTAGTGCTTGTAAATTACTAACAAGGGTCGAAAGACATTATGTTTATTAACGATTCAATTGTTATAATAAGCCAAAATTTAAAATAAGAAATATAATAAAAAGTGACAGAACGTATATAAGTTGATTTCATTGTGGGGTATCCATGTAATTATTTGTAACATATCTTTTTTAACACGTTAATTAGCAAAAACTTATTTTTTTTTAAGACAGCAAAATTACTTTATATGTAATGTTGCCTTTGATTTATTGAATTATATAGACATTAAAGCCCGTGGATGATACCAGACATTGTAGGGCATTTATCAAATAAATCCATCCTCGCAGAGCTGTGCAATAGAAACAAATCAATAATGATAAGCGATATGTGCTGCCACCCGGCACTGTAGAAACTAACAAATTCTGAGGGTGTTGAGGCATAAAAAAATTAGCTTCGAACTTCGTTCAAAACATTCGAAATTTTAATCGTTAAAAAAATAATTGAAAATAGATTCGAATTAAATGCAATACATATTTACTTCTTACAATCGTTTGAAACGAATCACGAAAACGTAATGCTTTTTTCGATCTTCTAATTTAAAAGAAATTGCATTTCTTCTATCGCAGTATTTTAAAAAATAGTAGCTACAAATTTTGATATAGAAATTTGTTAGTGACTACCGTAATGTACACATTCATAAATGATATGAGTATATATATACAGGGTGGATAAAAATCTCCACTCTTATACGTATATTAATTTACACTGAAGAAAACTTTGGACAATAAGGATTTCTATTGTTTATTATAAACAGGCTTATTGGTTCTCAGTATAATAAACTCTTTTTCCTACTTTGGAAAAAAAATGAATCTGACATTAATATTTCGATGACTCAAAAAAGATCATTATTAATAAATAACAAAACCATTAAATTTTTTTTTTCAATCAAAATTAAAAAAAAATTAAAAAATAAAAAACAACTGGTATACCTGAAACATTATGCTGGTGGTAGTTGTAAGCCAAAGGCACCGAATGAAGAGCCCTAGCTGACCATCGTTTATGCCGGTTACTTTCGTTGTCCTCCTCGTCGCTGGCGCGGTCCGCTTCTTCGCCTAAGTAGTGCACCTTCTCCCATCGGTCCAGGTACCTACAATTAATATATCAGTAACCAGAAGAAAGTGATTGGTCTGGGAGGTATGCGGAAAAGTATTACATCGACAAGTGTATACAAATAGTAGGTGGAGTTGTGAGAGCGCATTCAACTGACTCTACAGATCGCCACCGCATCCTACCACTAGGATACGTACAAATGTAATTATACGATATAGGCATTATAGGCGCTTCGCGGTGATGCTGCGCAGCCAGTCACTGTCTTCTTGTTAGAAATAACGACGTTACTGACCTAGTGTATGGCACGCGCGCAAAGTCACTAGGTACATAGCGTAATTCTTAAACTACTACTGCTACTAGAACGCTCTGACGATGAGATCCACGGACGTAATCGCGTATATGTAGAAGCAGTGAGCGACCGTTACGTTTAATAATACCTCACCGCGACATCAGGCACCACCATCACATAAAAACAAACAAAAAGCGATCGTCAGAAGTCCCAATATTGTAGACCACGAAATCGACAACAAAAAAGAGAATATTTTTTTTGCCAAGAATTTTTAAACCGACCCTGTAGAGTAAAACAGTAGCTTCCAAGAAAAAATACAATCAACACAAAAATTATACTTTTTCTACCATTCGCCCATCATGTAAATTAAAATATTGTTACATAAGAATAAATGGAGTATCTCCTCATTTAGACTATGAATAAATAGATTACATTTTCGAGTAGGTAGGCATTTATATAAGCAAATAACGTACCTATTCGTATATGTATGGAGGTTGAAAATTTCGAGTGGGATTCCTTCTATAAATAAATAAGCGCGAAGTATATAAATTTAACAGAATATAATCATTTTTGATTTTTCTGTGGGTTTTTTCGATCTCTATAAAACATTAAAAATTAAAGGAACGAATGAATGAAATTGATTGGTATTTTTTTTTTAATTAGGTAAGTACTTAAAAGGGCAATGGATGTAAGTGACTTTTTTAATATACTTTTTTTGCTGTAATAAGAAATATTAAACTTTCAAAGTTCATTAAAAATGCAGAATATACATATGTATTGATTACCTTAAATAAATTTGTTTTAAAGCAACGCCAGAATTGACGCATTTCCCGGTCAACCTGAAATACTTCAAGAGGTCGGGCCATTCGTTTTTGGCGTTTACCTGTAAACAAAGAAGAAAACGATATCAGTTACTCATTATGCAATTACATTTTAATATAATAAAAGAAGAAAATAAAAATAAAATTAGGAACGCATTCTAGCTAATATCTTTTAATGTTCAAGGATTGGATATTGTATCTAGACAAATTGCTCACGCATTAAAATTTGTGACAGAGTGTACATATCTACTGTGAAGTATATGTATCTACTGTATTGTATATCTCAACAATACCTCATTATATCTTTTTCCAGTAAAACCACGAGACGGCTCCGAAGGTCTAAGGTCTGTATAGATCGCGAAAACAGAACGACGAGTGAAGTTGAGCTTGGAAAAGTTCAGCGACCTTCCTTATTCATGTACATGCAGATATATGTACTTACTTGTTCATAAACACATGTATGTGTCTACAGTAATGATACATATTTTATGTATTTGCTGATATTGTACATACGCACACAAACCAGTGAAACTAAAGAATACCACAGTATCCGGTTACATTTTAAGATTAAGTTCCCAAAATATTCGTTTTCAGAAGAAAAACGAAAGAAAATTGTAAAAAACAATTTCAAATTTATTTCGGGTCGATGCAAATAAGCACTAGATAACACATATATATGTTAAATTTCTTAAAAAGCATTCATCATCATTATAAGGTCGTCAGTCCTAAGACTGGTTGGACACACACCTCCACTCCTTCCTAATCCTGAGCTAATCTTCGCATTTCCTTAAAACTAGAACATACCTCATCCTTAACTATTTGTTAACAGTAATCTAATCTAGCTCTACCTCTATTCCTCTTAACTCTTGTTTCTGCCTCCATGCCTGAGGTGTCCTACCAACCTCATCATCATCATCATAAGGTCGTCAGTCCTAAGACTGGTTGGACACGTACCTCCACTCTTCCCTATCTGAGCTAAACTTCGCATTTCCTTAAAACTAGAACAACCCACATCCTTAACTATTTGCAAACAGTAATCTAATCTAGGTCTACCTCTACTCCTCCTAACTCCTGTTCCTGCCTCTAATATGTCTATGACTAGACCTTTATGCCTGAGAAGGTGTCCTAGAGTCCATAGAGTCCTCTGTTCTCCTATTCTTTCTAATACCTCTTTATTTTTAACCTTCTCTATCCACGGTAACACCACCTTTCGAACGCTTCTAATCTTTTCTTTTCTTCCGCACCCACCGTCCATGTTTCGCACCCGTACAGCGCCGCGCTCCAAACATACACCCTTAACAATCTTTTTCCGAATTTCTAAATTAATCGTTTGCTAGCATAGAAGTGACTTCTTTTTATTGAGGGCGAATCGACCCTGCGCTATCCTATGCTTTATATCTCTACTACTCCTTCTGTCCTGACTTATCTGACTTCCTAAAAAGCATTACTAAATAACAAAAATAATGTTGTAGTATATACATATAAAATATAATATATTTCTGGATTGGCATTAGCGAAATGAAGTAAAGAACTTTAAAACACACTAATAAAGCACGTCGTGTTTTGGAATTCGGTTTTAAGCTATTTAATGTGGACTACAACACCGTCAAAGATTCCAATCTTCTTGATTCGAAGAATTTAGTTTGCTTATTGATTATACAAGTATACACAAATGTGGATATGAAAAAGTTTAAAATTTCTGTTTGAGAAAATTACCATAAACATACATATACAGTATGTCCCTAACACTACGCACGAATATAATTCATTATTTTCGAAATTATATACAAAAGATAATCTAAAATACTCATTTATTCAATAATAATAAATATTTTAAACTAATTAATTAATCATTTTATGGGACGCTTAAATCTAATTATCTCCATAGAGCGCAATACAGGGATTTCTTTGTAATTGTATCTTGTTTTAGGAAACTTTGTAAATAAGAGTTTATTTAGTTTCAAGGAAAAAAAAATTAAAAGGGACTGATTAGACATTTTCCAAATCTTTTTGCGTTTCTCATCTCGACCTGACCGAGTAGTCTATTTTTTTTTTTGTGAATAAAGCAGCTCGATATCTTTTTGAAACTATCCAAGTATCTGTCAGCACACCAAGAATACATGTTCAAGATTTTTCTCTACTGCATGTGTTTGGATAACGTATTTGTCCATCATCCATCGTCGTGCATAGAAAATCATACAATTCTCACGAAGATGCATGTTAATTAAATTTCTTCTGGTAACTCAAAGACAAAATACAAAACCAAAAGAAAGCAAGAATTTACATCACCAAATATAAAATGCCGGCAAACAGTACATAGGCCAAAGTCGTAAAGCATTTAACGTTAGATTTAAAGAACGCTTAGTTCATCCTATTGTTAGATTCAATAAGAATAAAATTGTAGTGATAGAAAAATCTAGTGTAGCTTCCCATATACTCCATAATAACCATGAAATAGTACCTAGTTGTTTAAATTAAGGGTCGACAATCTTTTTCCATCAGACGCTTACAAGAATATTGAAATATGAGAAACTAAAGAGTCAAGGTAGTGGTCTTATTTATTTTAAGCAGAGTTAAGTCAAAGCATACAATCAAGAAGTTTGGCTAGCTTTGTGAGCATAGAATGACTCCACCAGAAAACAGCTTGTTTCTAATGATCATCATCATAAGGTCGTCAGTCCTAAGACTGGTTGGATAAGTACCTCTACTCATTCCTATCCTGAGCTAATCTTCGCATTTCCCTAAAACTAGAACAACCCACATCCTTAACTATGATATTTTTAAAATGTTTTAGAGGGAGAACAACTTAGGTATTATAAGTTCTAAAATTCAGATTAATTTAGAATCTACCTGAGCGATTTACTGTTTTATTTAGTCGTTGCTACAATCACCGACTAATATTCTCATTCTGGTAAAAAATTCTTCAAAAACAGTCTATAAAAGTTTAAATTAAAATAATCAATGTACCCATTATTAATTTGTTCTTAATAAATTATTAATATCACGCGCCACAAATAATATTTCATTTCAGACGCACTTAAGACTGATTCACTAAATTCGCAGTCAGTTGCACCCTGATGCCGTCGCGGCGCCAAGCAGTCTCGTCGTCCAACCTGTGACCGTTTCTTGGCACTTGTTTAAAACCGTACCGTACCCTCGGTGCCTATACGCTCAAAAGCAGTAGCCGTTCTCTCCGGGTTCGGCATTTAAAGGAAAACTGCGGCGCACACCAGCTACGCGACCGACGACGACGGACAGGACGTAGAAGCGCGTCCTAGACACCAACGACGACGTTCTACTATCGCGCGTCAATGCCCGGCCTCCCTGCACACACTGACATCGAACAACAACAATAATAATGGCAACAACCAACGATCGCGTCTGTTGACTAGGTCAGTGATGATTAGATTCTGTTTTACTGTACACCTCCTCACGACGCCTTCGACAACCAACGTAGGCGCATCGCTCCAAACGTTTCTTTCGACACTCATCGTCAATTTTCGCATTATGAAATTATATTTTGTATATACTTGGGTTGTACGTATCTACTCATTTCGATCATTTGTTAGATAATATCCACTAAATATGTGATGGCTCTTTTAAGGGTGTCAGAGACTCAATCGGAAACAATTTTCATGGAATATATTTTTAACAACTGTTTCACTACAAAATCAAATAACTTTGTATCTGCTTAAGTTTTATGCTCTATTTTTAATAATTCAAATGGATTCAGGCAAAACACGTGATGACTGTTTCATGGAAGTTCTGGAGCCATGATTAGAAAGAACATGAATAGCTTTTTATTTTGTAAACAACGGTGAATCCGACTTAATAGTAAGTAAATTGTTGAAGGCTATTTCAGCAATAAAAAAAACTTTTTAGAAAATTGCTAAAGCATTTTGACTGGAAAGTGGAAAAGTCCATAAGAATTACAATAAAAATACAAGCTGGAATTTAATTTTGATAGGTTGATCACTGAGTGACAAAACGTAGCTTCTTATAGAGATTTTTATTAATAGAAATAAATAAAATATATGAGGGAAGCATGATTTCTTTTTAATTCCCAGGTTGGGTTATAGTTGGGAAGGTTGTCTCGAACAAATTTTAAATCATACCCAGTCATAAAGTCAGGGGAAACTCAAAAAAATGATGCATATTCTTGGCGTTTTTTTTTAATAAAAACATTAAATCACATTGTATTTAGATGCGCCAATTTCATTACTTGAAAACGTTTAATTAAATCCATAAGTTTTTAATTAACAGTTCCGTTTTTTGTGAAACGTGTTATGTTAAATTTTGTTATACAAATACAAAAATATATGTTGGGTAAATAATAAAATCAGTTACCATTAGGTCAAATTTTATCAATTTCCCTATTGTCGTCATTCATATTTTCGTTTAAAAATTGCAAAACTCGGATTATATATTTTTTACTACAATTAATTATTTATTAAAATGTATCTGTAACTTTATTATGGATGTATATTTCCATAACATATACTATATTGTGTGTATGAAATAGAAAACAGTTGTATAATGTTTTATATTATAGCATAACATTTATAAGTGTAATAAAAAACCCCTACTGGCATTAACGAACAGACTGCATACTTACTTTGTACATACGTTATCAAAAGATAATGTTGTTTATTAACGACCAAATAGTTAATCGATTAAATATCATTTTGTTGTTACGATCATTAATTTTCTCCATCCAGTCATATTTAAGAAAATTTGCAATGTACGTAACATTTTGTAAAATGTTATAAATATGAAACAACTACACATTATAACTAAACTTAATAAATTTCATCTATTTAAAAAAATGCATTTATGGTATGTTTTATCGCCCGAGATTTCCCAAATTTAATCAGAAAAAAGTTTGGCAACAACTTTTTATACCTTGGACTTTCTAGTTAATATTACAAATTAAAAAAAAAAGAAAATAACTAATATTATTGTTACATTAAAATCATTATCAGAACTGAAAATGTTCATTAAACTGTGTAAGCTTTTATTTACCTTTAATGAAGTTAAGTTGAATTTAACAGTATTGTTTTCATTTTGTCGTATTTTTTGTTCTATTGCGAATTTTTGAAAAATAGCATTAGACGTTGACCTGAACCATTGGTTCAAAAAAAGAACATCTTCGTCACATTGTTATACAATTAAGCCAATTATTATTACCACACAAAATGGCTTTACCATATTTTTATGCGGAAGTTATATATATATATATATATACATAGTCGGTTAAATTTAAGACTTTGTATAAATTATTAATTCATAGTTAATATTATTTACTAACTTATAGAAGTAAATTACTATCTACTGCTACTACTGCTAACTGTAACACTTTAAAATATTTATATTATAATTTTTAGTTCTTCATTAGATGCCACTCGAGTACAGTGCATATTAAATACGGTGTACTAATTAAAGAATCTAATTCGCACCGCGTTAATAAAACCAGTTTTATGTGTGAATAGACATGTTCTGCAATTAATACATTTGTACATATATTTATAACTGAGATTAGAGAGTAAAAACCTAATAAAGGTTTCAATTAAACCAATATTTCAAAAAATTATATGATTATTTTATCGCCTCTCGCGATATCATTTAGGATTTAAATATCAATTTTTTATATTTTGTAATTTTTAATAAGATTTAATAATTTTTGTTACGATATGTAAAAACAAAAAAGAAAAGTTTGTACTTTTAAGTAGAAACTATTTAAACATTTTGCATTTTTAATTTTTTAAATTAACACGGATACAGTCGATAAATTAAATTAATAAATAAATTCCATAGCTATTATGTATTAAAAAAGGACAGGTACTAAAACTTTACAAATACCTAGGATTTAACTCTTTCCTACCCTGAGCTAAACTTCGCATTTCCCTAAAACTACAACAACCCACATCCTTAACTATTTGTGAACAGTAATCTAATCTAGGTCTACCTCTACCCCTCCTCACTCCTGTTTCTACCTCTAATATTTACAAAATAAAAAATTGCACTCGTTTAATGGGCAATTAAGCTTAAAACAGAAATCTACCTTTGTTACCAACAAATTAATTAGTAAATCCTCATACCATTTTTATAAAAATTTAATAAAATACCCACATAAAAGTCTAAATAAAAATATCTAGCAATTTATCGAAATCATTAGTTCATATCATCATCTGAATGTCTGCAATATGTTTAGTGATGTAAAGCAGGTATTTGAACAATATTTACGATTAGTGTAAAACGTAGGTGTTTCCACATGAAGACAATCAACAGGGATAAGAATGCGTGTGTATAACAATAAGCCTAGTAAGTATGTAATAACTTAATAATTACAAAATTCTCAATTGTCACACAGAGATGACAAATCTGCTTGCAAGTATGTACTTTTTATCAATAAAAAATAATATTTTTCTTTTATTCCTTTTATTTGCTAATTAAAACAATATGATGTTTATTTCAGAAATTCTCATTATAGTTAAAAATAAATAAAAATTAATGACATAATTATCTCTTAATAACCTTTCCAACGAAAATAAATAAATTGTTATTCTAATAGACAAATACAGATGACACATTTATTTTCATGAATGCAATGCAAATGGTGTTCAGTATTAATTTGGTTTAGTTTAGTGCAAGTAGGTAACTATAATTTAAAAATTAATATGGTGTTGATAGGTATAAATGTAATTAATACTTCAGATATTTTAATTGCTGTGAATGAAAGCTTCACCCTTATTAAAATAAGAATACGTTCGCCCGTAATTCTTTTAAACCAAAAAAGAATCACCCTAATTACTTACCACTAAACTTTTTCGCTGCGAACACGAGTTTCAACCACTTTTGATGTGGGCCGTATCAACATGTTGATAAGGCCCACATTAGTGAAAATTTTAGTGGTAATTAAGATGTGGGTGAATCTCTTTTAATTTATTTATTTCTTTGTGCTTTACCACAGTCTCCATTTACTACCTTTTCTCTAGTAAAGTGTTTGCTCCTTAAAAAAAGGAAAACATTTCATGTATTAAAATACTCTGCTTGGCATGACATTAGCACTATCAAAGTGAAATTAAATAAGCACAAGGAAAATACCGTTTTCTCCTCTTCGAAAACGTACCTAGCCAAAGTGAGAGTGCAAATAATATTGCGAATGCGAATCGCACGTGGTAAGTATGTACGCCTTGCCAGGAATAGTGGTGGGGGTCTGATAAAAACATAGCCCTGACCTTGCTCGACTGGGGGTACCCACCGAATTAGTAATAAGCTAATAAGAATAATAACCTCTTGAAATTGCAATGTTTATGTTTGGTTTCCTTTTATTGAGAAACCGTCAAGCGAAAAACTATACAGCGACACCGATTTCATATATATGTCTGACACACAACAGCGAGCTGTCATGCAACATTTTAAACGGGTTTTCTAGCACTATAAAAGTATAAGTGCCTACCTAAATAAGACTAAAACTAAAAATAAATAAAAGTAAATATGTAATTACCTTTACCCAACCACCCTGGACAGTGACCAATGAATACAACAAGTATAGGTCGATTTCTTGACCGTTGATCTGGGGGAACCTTCGAAATGGAGTCCTGAAATAATGAAAATGATGGACGTGGTGAACCCAGGCTTGTTTTAGGAAAGCACGGTAATGTAGCTTACCCTCTGCCTTCATGGAAGTGCTGCAGGTCACGGAGGAATCCGTCCCTTTCCTTACCATAAGTAACCGGATCCTTGCCAAAAATTTTGGCCATAGTAGCACAAAATTCTTGTTTACACAACTACACGTGTCACTGCGAAACATTGATACTCGGTAACATAACCGATAGCGTCCGCGGTCCGGACGCTGATCGTCGCGAAATACCTACGGCCCCGACGTCGATATTGTTCACCTTCCGCACTTAGGACGCTCTCAGCCGCTGGGCAGGCAGTTAACTCCCTGCGCTAGCACGATGGAGCACACACACTGTCGGTAATAATGCGCAGGAAAGCTTTATTTTCCCTATGCATCGTCTCAACGGTTTTTTTTCTATAACGACACCGTTCAAAACTGTTGTATGATAAACGTTTCAGGTCAAGATAAACACTTGAAACACACAAAACGACTTACAACGAACTTTACTTGTGTTAACCCATGATGCTTGACAAGAGTTATTACAACATGGCTGCCGGCTCTACCTTTGTATTCGGCGCGAAATAAAATTCACAGTTTGAATACGATCATTTCTAACGTTAAATTAATGTCACCGGATCAGATTTGATTTTTTTTTGTACTACTGTCGCTTTACATTGTGATTTGAACTGTTTGCATAATTTAAATGATTACTGAAAAATTCCTTCACTTTTGACAACACTAATTAGTTCGAATGTCAACATTTGTAATGTGACATCTATCGGATAAAGTCTTACTTACGAAACAAAACCACGGCCTTCTTAAGTTTTACACTTAACTATTTTATTAAATGTAATAGAAATTATCTATTGTATTTATGCAATTAACTTAATGAAGTCATACTTTTGTATAAACCACTTATTTTTAAATGTCTTTGAATTGAAACACGCCCGTCCATTTGTAGGGCAGTGTACTCTTACAGCTGTTCATAAATTCATTGATTATGAATTCTTTAATTTTGAGATAGAATGATAGGTGGCGGCCAAATTAGTGATTCATCTAATTCAGCGCGAAATTTAAAACTAAAGTTCCAACAACAAAATCTTTAATAGTTTCCGAAAACTAGAAAACACTTTAATTATAATGTTTATATAAAGTAAAAAAATAATATAGTATTATGTAGGCAAAGATATTTTATAGCCACGTTTTTAAGAAATATAAAATATTTGATTTTATCACATGCTTTACATATTGTAAACGAAAAAATTTTTTTTTACTATTTAACACATTAGTGTTTTCTACTTTTTTAAAACTATAAATATTTTTTTCAATTTAATCGTATATAAACCTTAAGTTTAATGCAAAAGAATTGCCTTAATATTAGGTTTCAAATTAATACGATAATTGAAAGTAGGAAAAATTCTATGCCCTACATATTTATAAAGTTCAATATTTGGTTATAGGTATAACTAAAAAAAGTATGAATTAAGAAGATATAATGTTTTATTGGAATTAATCATACCGTAAAAATAATTCCAATAAGAAAACGGTATCATCTAATTCAAGTTCCACCAAATTTAATTTCTTCATCGTTTTCCCTATTTTTCCTAGTAATTCTTTTTCAGGTGGAGTAATCATTTCCTCAATCTGTAAAAATTCAATAATTGAGAAATATTTTTAACATAAGAGGGTAGTTATTCATACATCTGCCAACTGTTCTTCAGTAGCCCCTTGCACTTTCATTCCGAGCATAATTGTATCAACTCTCTGCTTTTTATCAATAATTCGTTTATTTACGTTTTTCTCACTGAGCCTTCTAGTCATTACATTGTACAATGATTTATAACACAATTCTAGTACCATTCTAACTACTTGAGCAATTTGTATATTAAAAAAAATAAAAGACTTGGTTGGTCCTGAATTAGAACTAGATTTTCTCAATTCTTGTACTTTTATAAAATTTTCTTCCAACAATTGATAGCAGAGACGTTTGGCTTCTTTAGCCGGTATCATAGCTAGTTGTTGTATCTGTTCTGGTTCAATATAACTCTTTAATCTTATTAAACGAAATATTCTTGCTGCTTTCGAGTCAAACTTTTCAAGAACAATTTGTTCTATTGTTTCCCACACCAAATGAATTATTATATCCTTTAAGTATATCTGATAGGAACCCCCTCCTGCTTCTCCAAATTTTCTAATCATTTTACAATAGTCTTGTTCTAAAATAAAAAATTGAAATTACCGTTGGTTTCAAACGATAATAAGGTAATTGTAAAAGGTACTTCATCTTTGCATTTTAAATGAAACGAATGGATTGGGAAATATACTTTAAAGCTTCATTAATATGCTTTTACTTTAAATGTTTTCTTTCTTTCCTTCTTCTCTCAAAATTGGGATTTTTAAAAATTCCTAACTTTTCAAAATGTTTTTTGATAAAAATAAGTTACTTTGCTACTTTTATACCATTTTACACTTTTGACTTCTGTCAAGATAAGGTCCCTTTTTACAAATCGCATCACATTTAAAAACTTTACCCATAACATTGATATACTGATCAAGGAAAGCAGAAAGAACATGAAGGGAGTTTTTTTTCTTAATAACATTTTTCACTTCTTGTATAGGTATAGGATTTGATGTGTCAGCCCAGGCAGTTGTCCTTATATACATTTGTTCAAGAAAAGTTTTCATCAGTTCCCCTGCATTTTCATCAATTTTTTTTGTGATAGCACTAATAATTAGTTTATCTCGTAAATCCTGATGGAATCTATCAAAATTGATAGTCCAATAACTTTCTTGTTTCAGAGGAATATTCTTTTCTATTAAATTCTTTACTTCAATAGCTTCAATGGAAGGAAATATAAATTTATCTTTTTCAGAAATTTCCAATTGTGGAACCGCTTTATTTCCTTCAGGTATATAAATTCTCATTAAATATTGAGCAGTAACAAGAGCCATAAATACATCTCTTAGTTGTACTTCACTTATAGTTTTGTTTTCCATTTCTTTAAGTCTATTAAATGATTTGAATATTATTTCAGAAGCTGAAGAAAATCCACTTAAAAGAACCTCTTCTAAGATAACTTCACCTTCATCCTCAAATTTTTTCTTAATAAGAATTATATATTTTGGATAACGAAGCATTAGGAATATGTTTTCACACTTTAATGAATAATTGGCAATGTTTTCATTTTTGTTGGGAACAAATGTTACTAAATTGTATTTTATAAGAATACATAAGGCTTCTTTTACCTATATAAAAAAATAAAGTTACAAATAATCATAAACTCATCATTATCATTACTATAAGAATAAAAGGCCATTGCCAAATACAACATAATGAATAGAAAGATAATATTAAAATTACTCATTATCTTGTTAACATTAATGTAATTAAGCATTTTTTTATTTTCTTTCATAATTTATTATTTAAACAGTATTTGATATAATTACATGAAAGTAGTCTAATTTCAAAATTAATACATTTTAAATAGCATAGTCAAAGTGAACATGAAAAAAAAATATGTATTAGCAATTTAATTTTTTTTAAACTGTATATCAAATTTAATACTTGAAAAAACAAATAGCATAGAAAAAAAGGCCTAAGAAGCTATAGAAAAGTTTTGCAATTGTACTATTAAGTGATTTTCTTACTTGAAAATAGTTTCATATTAAAATCTAACATTAGCTGTACTTATTAAATTAGGAAAACGATAACTTACAGCAAAAGTAAGATGCAATGACCTTAAGTTGTTCAAAAGGTTTTTTGTGGTAATATTTAATTACCTGAGAAAGAGGGAGATTAGTGTACTTTTTGATGTACAAAAGGGGGCTTGAACCATAATGAAATAAACAGCTGCCCACTTTCTCCACAATCTCACCGAACCTTTCCAATAAAATAAAGGAAATTACTTTCCCATATTGCGAAGACATTATTCTTTTATTACTTGTTCCAAACACATTAAATAAAGACTACAAAGTAAGGTTAGACCAGGTTAGAATTTTGGGTACCATTGTTATTTCCAGGAAAACTATTTAACTAAAACTAAACGTTAACTACAATAAATATAGGTCATATTTTAAATTAGAATATATAAAACCGAAAATATAAAACACCGGTTGGCGTTCAGTATAAGATCAATAAAAAAATTTACGTTTTAATTGTAAACATACTGTAAATATTGCAATGCCTAACTTATGCAACCATCATAGTGTTCATGCAATTAGAGTTGCATTTATTTGTATGCTTTCTTTAGTTTCCTTGCTATCATTATCAAGGCGAGTATTATAAGCAACGAACAAACTCTATTAGTCAGTTAGTCCTTCCTTTTGAAAGTTAAAAAAAAATAATCTAATCCAATTTAAAAAAATTAAAATACGATCAACCCATGCTGGAGACACCGACTATTATCTATGACTGTCAACAACAACAGTAAACATAACCTTACCTACTCCCACTGACAAATAATGAAAATTCATTACTTTTTAGCAATAATTCTTAAAATCTTGCTCTTTTATAGTTGTTGTATTGAACAGTGAAAAGTAATTACCACTTATAATATGCCTCCAAACTGCACACCTGAAAAAAATGCAGGTAATTGTTTATAAATTAATAAATCTTCATTTATAAACATAACATAATTTGCAGCAAATTTAATAAGCCCTAATTATGAAGGTGAGAACTTGTATTTTAACCCTACAATTAGTAATACTGAGCAAAAAGAAGGTAAGTCCCCTTTTCAGTATAATAAACACATAAATGAATTATTTTTATTCAGTTAAAATCAAAAATGAATCTCATGTTGAGCAATTACTTAATGATCTACCTAATTTGAATAAGTTATTCTTTATTCATTCAAAAATCGGAGAAGGAACATTTAGTAGTGTTTACTTGGCTACATTAAAGCAGGATCTGTCTAAAAGAAAAAAGTTTGCAATTAAGCATCTGATTCCAACTTGTCATCCAAATAGAATTAAATTTGAACTAGAATGTTTAAAAAAGTTTGGGTAAGTTGAGATATATTTGTAATCTTAAAGCATATCCTAGCAAATTATTTTATAAATTTTATGGTTTAAGAGGAAGAGACAACATAATTGGAATAGAATTATGTTTAAGGAGTAAAAACAACATTGTTTTTGCAATGCCTTACCAACCTCATTTACCGTTTGTTGTAAGTACTTATTATAATTCGGATATTGACTGTAGATAGCTAAATAAATAAATCTGCATTTAGGAATTCGTTGGGGATATGGATGCAAAGGAATCATCCGATTATATTAAAAACTTACTTATAGCATTAGCCAAGCTTCATGATATGGGAATTATTCACAGAGATATTAAACCAAGTAATTTCTTATATGATAGGAAAAACAGACGGTAATGATTAATCACTTATGTTTCATTCAAAGTATTCCTTAATATAATTTTAGGTATGTTTTGGTTGATTTTGGTCTTGCCCAAGTTGTACCAAACAATGTTACTAATTCTTCTAATGATTCATCGCTAAAAAGAAAACGAAATTCATTTTCACCTGTAAGTTAATTATAAAAAAAGCAATAATTCAACTAATAACATTGACACAATATGATGAATTGCATTTAAAAATAACAATTTTATATATCTAGCTTAGTTTGATGTCTATTATAATCTACTACAGGTAAATTTATTTTAATCATTAATTTTCTTGCAGCAGTACAATGGAAAAGTTATAGAAGACAACAAACGGCCTAACATTGACAATTCACCTTCAACTTCTTTAATTAATACAAAAAATTCTATAAAAGACCAAAAAGAAAATAACTGTTTCCAAAACGCACATAATATTTATCAGAAAGTTATTGCAGAAGGTAATATAAGTTTTGAATTCTAAATAACCATTTTAAAAAAAGGAATGTATTTTCTACTTTAACTCTTTAAATATTGAAAACAAATTTTCCTGAAGTAATTAACAAAACAGTTAAGTAATCTTCTTTAAAGATAAGTAGTTTTTATGTTTTCCAAAAGCTTTGAACATTTTCTTAATAGGATATATGCTTTCTTCTTATTACAAATCTTGAATTTGTGAAACTACTTACGATATTTAATGTTATTTTATATTAGCAGGCTCGAAAAAACAAGACATTAAAGGTAACTGTCGATGTTACGGAAAACCTCGAGTTTGTTCTCACTGCTTAGTAAAGAGAAGTATTCAAGCTAGCAGGGCAGGAACTCCAGGATTTCGACCTCCGGAAGTTCTACTAAAATACCCCGATCAAACAACTGGTCAGTGATATTTAAATCACTGTTTCAAAACAAACAAAATAACTAAAGAGGTGTATTTGTTTTCAGCTGTTGATATTTGGGCAGTGGGTGTAATTTTCATGTGTATACTGAGTAACTGTACAACGTTTTTTACCAGTTTAAATGATAACATGGCTCTTGCAGAGATGATTTCACTTTTTGGAACTGAAAAGATAAACAGACTATCTCAAAAACTTGGTATATCTAATAACTTTTTATATTACTATCACTATTACAATTAATTCATATTTGCAGGAAGGTACCTTTTATGTAGTGAACATAAAGAACCAGTAAACTTGAAGAATTTATGTAATTTGTTAAGAAAACGAAAAGGTAACAACTCGAAAGTAGAAGAAACTGAAAAATGTTGTAAATGTTCGAAATTAATACAGTATTGCTTCTGTACCAGTAGCAGCAAGGTTTGTTCATTTGTTCAATGAGCAAAGTAATTAAAATCTATTTTAACAATTTTTATTTTTGTTAAAGGATACCAACGATGCATTTCCAGAAAGTGCATATGATTTACTGTTAAAGTTTCTTGATATAGATCCTAAAACAAGAATTACCGCCAAGGAAGCCCTAAAACATGAATATCTTTCCATTTAAATTTATTTAAAAGTAAATATTTTGAATGATCTGAATTACTTTTTAAGAAACTTAATAAATATTATTTCAGTAATTGACTTTATAACTTTAAAACATGACTGCATACATTTATTAATTAACTTGTTATATTGTTCCCGAATCAAATAAAATTTCCAGGATAACAAAAAGTAAAATTTCTTAAAAATATACTTACACAGGGACAATGTTGGAATCGCAAGTTCCAAATAATCCTACTTTTTAACATTGATATCAATTTTATTTTCCTTTGTATTAAATATTTCATTACTTGCCATCAGAAACGTTGGTATAGTTTCAAAGTAATTTAAGTGCAAAATATAGAGAATTTATATCTGAAAATAAAGTTGATAGGATTGGTAGTGAAAAATAATATAAGAAAATATAACATAAATAATAGTACGAGAAATAAAATTTACAATGCTTTCTTAATTGGCTAAAACAGCATGTCTCTAAATATTTGTGCGTGTGTTATTAATTTTATTTGTATACTTTTACATAAAGTGAAACGTTTAAGTAGATTAGTAGATTTCTGGTCCAAGTAATTTTTTTGACTATTAATATGTATAAAGTATAAACTGTAACGGAATTATCTCTTGGAAGTACGCTTGTGTTACGGCATTTACAGAGAATGCTATGTTTATGTTAGAGCTGCTAATCAGAAACAATTAATATTTTAACATCAAACATTAGAGTTATGTATTTACACATAAAATAAAAACTACTTATTACGATCGTGCTCATAACATAACATTTTGTCTAACAAGTACAAAAACAACTAATCATATGTATTTAATTTGTCACAAAAATATATCACAGATTTAACGTTTCTCTTACAAATAAAAAGTAACATACTTATTGTTATTTTATTTACATAGATTTTACAAGCAATACTAGTGGAATAACGCCACCAATACATTAAATGAAGTTTTTGACCACTTATGTAATATTAAAAATGAGTAATTTATGGCTTTCATATCTAGAATTTTAAATTTTGGCACTTGCGGAATTGTTTTGTTTGTTTGCAAAATTATCCTAAATAAAAGTTTAATCTTTTAATTATCAATATGGGATTCTTTAATTTTTGATATACAATTTGCGCCAAAACCGACAATAATTAATTTTGAGTAAAATAACTCAAGACCCAGGAACTGTGGCTCATGATTTATAAACGAAAAGTCATGCAAACCGATAATTCAGCTTGAAGAGATTTTGTTAACATTTTCTCCATTACTCAGGTATATTTTTTAAAATTCGAAAATTCATTATCTGAGACTGAGTTGATCGCCTATAAATACTATACTAATTATACTTAACGAACACAAGCAAACGGTTATAAAAGCTAACAGTATATAGACAGAAGTGATTAACCAAAACGCAAATAAATATAAATTCTTATTACAATAGTTAAGCTGATCGACATTTGGATCGTAGTTTGGTTCGTATTCCTTGTACACCCAAACTGACCCTAAAAATAAATCATTAAATCTTCTTGGGTCCATAAACAAATTAAAATTAAAAAACTTGTAGAGATGTGGTCAAAAATAATACCAGTGATAGTTGATCACAGCACGACGTTTTGCCACTTTATTATAATTTTTTTAAGTATGGTAAATAATTACTAAGTTCGTAATAAAGTTCTATTAACTATGGTAGGTAGAAGGAAATTTGCGCGAATGAGATAGCGAATATTTTGAAATTGGCTGACGATTAAAACAACTAATAAAAGAATGAAAGTAACTACTTAAATTGCCTTTTTACGATATACAGAATGTTGTTGTGCAATCGAAATTTTTAATAAAAAATCACCAATCTTTTGACGTATTGAGCGTGTTTAATCGTCAATATTCGGTCACAGGATCAGGTCATAAAAGTAAAACGTGTTATAGAAAAATAATACAATTTATATGAGTTTACCTCTAAAGAAATTTCCGAAGGCAATGACTAAATAGACCAAAACTACAATAATTACATTGGATATTCTCATATTATTTACAGTATTTGGGAAATGATTCACAACGTTACACTATGGCCAACCACATAAAATATTTCTGATATTTCAGTCAATAAAAATTACCTATTATAAACCATCCCAGCATAAAACAGTTCAGTAATGTTTGTGTAGGAGATTGTCGTAAATGCTCCTCCTGTCTTTCTTCTTCCCTTTTTCTTACTCGAACAGATAAATGTAGTAATTGTTTTAAAATACCAAAAATTCCTACGATATAAAAAGAATTTTACGTTTAGCGATTATTAAGAACTGATACATTATGATCTTAAAAGTGCTGCCTTGGTAAATAAACAGTAGTGGTTTGTGAGTAGTTTATTTCATATAAATATTTTCTCTATTATCTACTTCCCATATACAACTGTATAATTATTAAAATCTTTTTGTATGTTCATTATATGTTGCAAGCATCCTGAATGTTATTAAAATTGAAAACTGAATCACCATTATTCGTTTAACGTTACTAGACGAATATTAATTTAACGTACACAAGGCCAGTCCCCGTCCAAATTTGAATACAATTATTTATTAGCTCTTGGTAAACAAACCAATATGTGACGCTCATATGATTCACGCTAAATAATTAACTTTAATTTTGATTAATTAAAAGCAAAAATTGGTTATTATTTTCATTTATAACTCTATAAAATCATAATTATTCATTTTTTGTTTCTAGACGGATTTTTTATTTGCAATTGTTAGATTACTAGTTTGTTATCAGGTCATTTTACTGACCTCATATGTATGCAAAATGGTGCAGCTGGGTGCAACGCTTACTAAAATTGCAAATTCTTGTAACTTAACATAAGTGCTAAACATTTTTTTATTTAAGTAAGAGAAGAAGCACTACAAAACCTAACATCGTAAATAATAAGGATGGTACAGAAATTGTTTTTTCCTAATTACTTAACCTTCGATCTAAATTACTGTAATGCATTTTAAAGAAAATTTATATGGGATTTCATAAACTTAAAGGTCATATAATAACCTCAATAATTTTAATTAAGTATTTATGATGTCCTTAAAACCGAAGAACATAAATATACAAAAACTATCAAGTAAATATAGATAGAAGTAGGTACTAATAAATAGAAAAATCCCTGCAAACTAACTCCTTTGTATTAAATATTTC